CACTATTGCTAGGAGTCTTAGTTGGGGTCGTCCTTGTGGATTCCTGGGAGTTTCCCTGGTACCAGGTTTCTCCCTAATCCCTAAATGGCCTCCTCTATCAAGACATCTCTTTCATTACTCCCCCTCAGTCCTTCCCCCAGCCTGCCCAGTCCAATCCTCATGCCCCCCCACCCCCCACTTCCCTACCTCCAACCACCCTTACCCCCTGCACTCCCAGTTTACCTACGTGATCTCTTCTATTTCCCCTTCCCAGGGAAATCTATGAATCCCTCTTTGGGCTTGAGGGGCATTTGTAATTCAGATAGATTCAACACATATTGTGCTCTAGTTTCAGCCAGATCCTGTGTTTGCTATAGCTTAGACATTTAAGAAAAGATCCAGGTGGTGGCACATGCCTTTAATCTCAGCACTTGGGAGGCAGAGGCAGGTAAATCTCTTATGAATTCAAGGCCAGAGCAAATTCTAGGATAGCTACACAGAGAAACCCTGTTTTGAAAAACAAAACAAAGAGAGAGAGAGAGAGAGAGAGAGAGAGAGAGAGAGAGAGAGAGAAGAGGGAGAGAGAGAAGAGGGAGTTGTACATGCATGTAATTCCAGTATCAGGAGGCAGAGGCAGAAGGCTCCTGGGGTCTTGCTGGCTAATTGATGAGCTCCAGGTTCAGTGAGATACCTTATCTTAAAAAAGAAGGTGGAGCCGGGCGGTGGTGGCGCACACCTTTAATCCCAGCACTTGGGAGGCAGAGGCAGGCCTGGGCTACCAAGTGAGTTCCAGGAAAGGCACAAAGCTACACAGAGAAACCCTGTCTTGAACCCCCCCCCCCCAAAAAAAAAGAAGGTGGAGAACAATAGAGGAAGAAACCAATATAGACTTCTGGCCTCCCCATGTGTACATGAGGGCATGTGTACCCTAGCATGCACACATGAAAAGGTAAAAACAACAACAACAACAAAAGCAACATATAGCTCCTGTCTGGCATCTAGTACTAACACAGTAAGTAGCTGTAAGAGAAAAAGCAGTCAGGTTATTTGGAGCTTCCTCTTGTCAGATGTGTGGTAGACAGTGACACCTTGTTTCTGGATAGGGAACAGACTTGAGAGGGTGAACATCTGCTGGAAAGTCTACAGTTAGGCAAGGCAATGAACATAGGACATAGAAATTAACCCTGGAAGGACAGCTCCCTTTCTGGGTCCATATGGCTCTGAGAATGTAAGGCTACCTAGAATGTAAAGCATAAACATGATTAGTATACTACTCATTAGTTCTGTATTCACAGAACTGGTATTTGTTTGGAGTAACAATATGCACAACTCAAATACTGCATCCTTGTTTTTGTGGATATGGATTGCCAAAAGGCTATGTGCAGAAGTCATTTGGTGGAGCTTTTAGGAAAGTTCTTAGATGAACTGTTGGAAATGTGTCCTTTGTCTTTCTCTAGACTGTCATCCCTTGACCTTTTCTTTCTTTTCTGTAATGGGAACATGTTGGCTGAATCTCTAAGTACCATCCAGAGCATGAAGTGGTCTTCAGGGGAGAAGATGGAGGAAGCCAAGACTATGATGACATAAAATCACCAGAGCATACCTGGACAGCCTACCTCTGAATTCTTTGGGAAATGCAAATAAACCTCTTGTGTTTGTGTGAAGTTAAATATATGCCTTAAAAATTCACAAATATCGCCGGGCGGTGGTGGCGCACGCCTTTAATCCCAGCACTCGGGAGGCAGAGGCAGGTGGATCTCTGTGAGTTCGAGGCCAGCCTGGGCTACCAAGTGAGTTTCAGGAAAGGCGCAAAGCTACACAGAGAAACCCTGTCTCGAAAAACAAAAAAAAAACAAAAACAAAAACAAAAAAAAAAAATTCACAAATATCTACCTTCTCATATAAATGGTCAAATCTTTTTTTTTTTTTATATTACACTACAAATTGAAGTAAGAAAGACATCACTGATCTCACAATCTTTGCCATTTTAACTCAGATCATTGTAAATTTGGGGAGGGAGTTGGGACATGAAAAATACACAAAACCTTAGCAGTCAGACTAAACAAGCCTTTTTTTATTGTTGCTTTTGTTTTTATCAAGCTATATTTTTCTTATAGTTCCTCTTGAGGAACCTCAGTAGCCTTCCCAAAGGGAGCAGGCCATTAAGAATAAACTGGGTGGCAGTGGCACACTTCTTTAATCCCAGCACTTGGGAGGCAGAGGCAGGTGGGTCTCTGAGTTCAAGGCCAGCCTGGTCTACAGAGCGAGCTCCAGGATAGTCAAGACTACACAGAGAAACCCTATCTCTAGAATACAGAACAAAACAAAAGTATTGTCTTTATATTCCCTTGCAGATGGCAGATTAGAGAATTGAGTTGGGAGGATTTCCTAAGTGCAGAATAGTTTGTTTTACGTTGGTAGGTTTACTAGTCTGCTGTGGCAGCCAGAACAAAATACAGACTGGTAGTGGGAAGAGCAGACATTTCCTTTTAGCTCCGGGGCCAGAGTGAGTCATTCTGGAGAAGAATCTCCCTGGCCTGTAAGTGGCTGATGTCTTGCTGTGTTCATGTGGCCTTTATTTTGTGGGCTTGCAGTAGCAGAGTCCTACCTTTTTGGTCTTGTGCAAACTTAGTTTCCTCCCTAAAAACCTCATCTCCGAGTACTTTTCTAAGTGGTATGTTACAAGGAGGGTAAGAACTACATGGATTTTGGGGAGCAGGGACCTCATGCAGCCCATAGCATTGGGCTTGCAGAAAGAAACCAACTCAGTTTAACATTTTAAAAATAGGGACCAAAACATAGGCAACTACGGTGATATTTTTATTTGTGCTGAAATGTGATTTTATTTGTTAATAAATAAAGTTGCCTGGGGGTCAGAGCTAATAGCAAGCCATTTAGCAGAAGTCAGGCAGTGGTAGCACATGTACTTAATCCCAATCACATGACAGACAAAATCTCTGTATGTTCAAGGACACAGCCAGCATGGAGACACACCTTTAATCTCAATACCAACCATAGAGACCTGGAGGTCTGTATAGACAGGCAGTGATGAGAAAGTCATGTGGTTGGGTTTAGAACCAATGAGAAGGCAGAACAGAAAGTCAATAAAAAATGCAGACACACAGGAAGTAGGTCTCTTTTCTCAGGGGGAGGAAGGCAGCATCTGGTAAGCTAAGGGTTATTCACTTTTTAACTCTGTATCTGGCTCTGTGTTTCTTACTTAAGACCATTCAGAATTACATCTGCAGGCAACCACAGGACAAAGGGTTCTTTAATGGTGCAACAATCTTGACATTGTGGTTTATACAGAAATATCATGTACCAAAGGTGTGTTTAAACAGTAAAATTTCCTTTCAAATGGAAAGACGAGCACTGTTAATGACATACTTGAACTAAGAGTCTAGCAAGTACTGTTAGAAGAGTGTTAAGATCATAGTGATTCACAAATGCTGAGATTACTTTGAAAATAAATATAGATAAGAGTTACAGGAAATTAAGCAATACCAAAATGTCAAGTTCTAAACAACATCAAAGATCATTTTGAAAAGATGCCATATATGAATGTCAGAATACAAAGTCTTCAATGAATGGTCTCTGAAGAGCTTTATAAAACCCTGTTGAAATGCATTAAAAAACACTAGTTCGTCATGTTTATTGGAAACAACGCCATTGTGACAGTTGGAAAGAAATTTAAATCAATTTTTAGAAATCCTTTGGGGACATATGACAAGCTGATTTTGAAGACGCTTTGGCAAGCAAGTGACCAAGCATAACTGCCTCTTGGAGAATGAACTAGGGAATGTTCTCTACTAGTTAAAGTTTTGTTCATGTGAGTGTGTGTCTATGGTTACTGTGAGAAAGTGTACTGCTGATGTGGCTACAAAGCAAAGTAATGACAATAGAGTCCAGAAGTCGATCATGCTTATGTGGATACAACCAATGAAAGTGTGGCATGGGTTATTCAACACAAGATGCCAGGAACATTTGTTACTCATTTGGGGGTGGGAGAAAAATTGAATATGCTTTATGCAAAACTAAATTTTGGCTATTAAGACCTAGTTGCAAAATTCAAAACTTGACAATGTTTTCATGAGTTGAGGTTAAGGCATTTTTAATAAATTAGCTGATTTTAAGACCAGTGACACTGAATTTTATGCTCTTAAACCTCCTTCCAGTGTGAGAGAATTCTGGCATTTCCCTGTTTCTGTCTGTCCTCCTTGTAGAGAAGCAAGGCCTCTTACATTTCAGGTAGTTCTGTGCTTCACTTAGGTACCATTCACCTTTCTCTTCTGGGTGGTTCCCAACAACACTTTCTGTTGTTCTTTTTTGTTAATGTGATAAAATACCCTGATAAAAATATCAAGGGAGAAAAGTTTATTTGGGCATATAGTTCCAAAGGAAGCAGCAGGCACATCATATTGTGTGGGAAGCAGAGAACAGTTAAAATGGGGCCAGGACAAAATCCCAAAGCCAACCTTCGTGACAGTAACTTACTTCCTCTTGCTAGGTTCCACCTGCTAAGCTTTCCATAACCTTCCCTGTGTTGATAGATTGTGTACCCTAATAAATTTGCCTGAAAATCAGAGAACAGAAAAAGCCAGTAGATTAAACATAGAAGCCAGGCAGTGGTGGGACACACCTTTAATCCCAGCACTTGGGAAGCAGAGATCCATTTGGATCTCTGAGTTCAAAGCCGCCCTGGACTACATGAGAGTGACTCAGTCTAGGAGAGAAACAGCCAGGCAGTGGTGGCACACACCTTTAGTCCCAGTACTTGGGAGGCACATACCTTTAATCCCAGCACTAGGAAAGTTGAGACAGGAAATGATATGGGTGGGTGGAGAAAGGTATATAAGGCGTGAGGAGACAGGAACTAAAGTCTTTCAGCTGAAGAAAGCTTTTCAGGCTGAGGAGTCCTAGTGGTAAGAGGTGGCTTGTTCCTTTGTCTCTCTGATCTTTCAGTATTTACCTCAATTTCTGGCTCTGGGTTTTTTTTATTAAGACCATTTAGGAATTCGTGTTACACTTCCTAAACAATGCCACCAGCTGGGGACCTTGTTTTCAAACACATGGACCAATCAGAGATGCTTTGCATTCAAATCATAATGCCCACTCCCTCTGAAATTGAGTCTCAGTCCTGCATAATCTTTGTGGCCCAGATGCCTTCCTTGACCATATGACACTGGGCATTATTTGCATTTTAACAAAGAGCTGCTTTGTGAGGATCATAGAAGTGACAATATGTGTCATCTGTGAAGAGGACAACCAGGACAGATTCACAAAGCTGTCAGACTAAATCACGCAGAAGAGACAGATGCAGTGAAATAGGAGGAGGCGGAGCTCAGAAAAACCTTGAAATTGACAAGGAGATGAGATACACGAACGGAACCAGGATCAGGTCGGCCTAAATTCTGCTATGTTGGGACTCACTGAAGGAGTGTTCCTGGTTCTTATTGTTACAGAGTTTGTTCTTGGAAATCTGGTGAATGGCTTCATTGGGTTGGTTAATGGCAGCCACTGGTTCAAGAGCAAGAAAATCTCTTTGTCTGACTTCATCATCACCAGCTTGGCCCTCTTCAGGATCATTCTGCTGTGGATCATCTTTATTGATGGCCTTATAATAGCATTCTCTTATCACAGCCATGACTCAGGGATAAAGATGCAAGTTATTGATGTTTTGTGGACCTTTACCAACCACTTCAGTATTTGGCTTGTCTCCTGTCTTGGTGTTTTCTACTGCCTGAAAATAGCCAGTTTCTCCCACCCCACATTCCTCTGGTTCAAATGGAGAGCCTCCAGGGTGGTTGTTGGGATGCTGTGGGGTGCACTGCTCTTATCCTGTGTCTGTACCATGTCTCTGATGAATGAATTTAAGATTTATTCTGTCCTCGGTGGAAGCAGAGGCACATCAAATATGACTGAATACTTCAGACTGAAGACAAATGAATATAATCTGATGCATGTTCTTGGGAATCTGTGGAAGATTCCTCCGTTAATTGTTTCCCTGGCTGCCTACTTCCTGCTCCTTCTTTCTCTGGGGAAGCACACAAAGCAGATGCAGCAATACAGTACTGGCTCCAGAGATTGGAGTACCGAGGCCCACAAAAGAGCTATCAGAATCATCTTCTCCTTCCTCTTCCTCTTCCTCTTGTACTTTCTTTGTTTTCTAATTTTGTCATTCAGTCGTTTCCTACCATCAACTAAGACTGTCAGGATGATTGGTGTGGTAATTGCCATGTCGTACCTTGTTGGGGACTCTTTTATTCTCATTATGTGTAACAACAAGCTAAAGCAGACGTTTGTGGCCATGCTCCCATGTGAGTGTGGTCACCTGAAGCCTGGCTCTAAGGGATCCTTTGCTTCATAGAATACCAGAGGGCATAGCATGGAGCCTGGGGGTTCCTCAGCCTGGTGTAGCACTATGAAGCCTTCTGAGTCTGCCATTCATCAGTCTATACCATCAGTAGGAGAGATGTTACCTGCTTTGCCCCAGATTCTACCTGGCTTAGAGGTGAAAGCCATGCTTCTGAGTGCCTCTCCCCATAGGATCATTTGGACAGGTGCAACAGTCTTTGGGAAATGCCAGTGTAAGAACACTCACTATGTAGATATGGAGATGTATTTTAATAACCATTAGCTTAAGCATAGCCAGTCTGTGTATTAGTTTTACCTTAAATTTTATGTGGATATAAATAAAGCACTGCTGTGGCTGTGACACAAAGACCAAAAGCTTTTGCTTTTCCATAGATGTGGGCTTGAATTCTGGTTCTGTCAACTTTCCATTTGTGTCTGTGGATGAATTGTTTTTGTGCTTTTCCCTTTACCCTAAAATATGGATGATAACATCATCCACAGAGTAGTAAAAATTCATGAGACAATGTGTGCCAACATTTTAGCACAATGTGTTATATAAAGTGCTGGGTTAATTGAAGGCTGTCATTATGTCAAACAATAAATTATGCACCAACACCAGTCTTTTTAAGATGGCACTTCCCACAAATCTTTGTGTGATACTGTAAATAACAGCATGAAAATCCAGACTCTTGGATTCCAGGTTCCAGTCCATTCTTGTGTTTCATTGACATTTTATTAAAGGTAGTTCCAAATATATATATATATGTTTTTTTGACTGTGTAAAAGACTAAGCATTTTTGTCCCTCCTCTCCCTCCTCCTCCTCTTCTCCTCTCCCCTTCCTTGTTCTTTCCAGGATGCTTATGTGCTTTTAAAATTTATAGAATATATATATATATATATATATATATATATATATATATATATATATATATATATATATGTGTGTGTACTTTGATGTTTAATTTTATTTAAAGAGAAGAATAGACATTTATTTAATGTCATTAATTCAATGAGAATATTTTTCTGTGTCATGAAAAATTCTTTAACTTGGTGAATATAGTTAGTTAGGACACATGACATTCCTGAATGTGGACTTCTAATGTGACTAAACAATTACCCTGGATTTTACATCACAGTACTTTGATACCTAAGGGGACGTATTGTAACTACATAGATCTAAGCATAGGTCAGGTTTATAAAGGAAACATGAAAGGGTAGATATTTTTTTCTAGGTGAACCCCAGAACAGATTATGGCACAAATTACCTCTCTCTACTGTGCCCCGCTCAACGTGTCTTATAAAAAGTGTGTCTCAAGGAGGGGATTGTTCCTTGAACTTACTGCATTAGATTCGGTAAATCCCCTAGGTGAAGGAGTGGCCGTGGCATGGTCAGCACGCAGTTGGAGAAAACGGCTTCAGTTTCAACATGTGGAGGACACACAGACTGGTTCACATAGGCCATGGAGGGGAGGGAGGGGGAAGAAGGAGCGATGAGAGATGGATCCCACAGCACTCTGGTTTCTATGGAGTAAAGCTGCAGGGAAACGGAAATAGTCTTGGGCTCGAGCAATCTGGTTTGGGTTTGAAGTTCTGCTCTTCGAGGAACAGATTCCAGAGTCACTGAAGCGTTTATAATTGGGCATTTCTAAGAAAATAAGAATAGGAGTGAAGAAATAGTAATTTAATCCTTGAAAGATTTGCATCCCAGTAAAAGCAGCTGCCTCTTAGACCAGAAAGGGCTCATTTGCCACAGTGGAAAATAAAAAGGAGACCTCCCTCCAGGCTGAATACTGTGCCTACTTACGTATTTCAGTTTGTTTTCATCAGCACCACGCACACTGAATCTTCAGTGAGTGAAGATGCTTTGGAAACTGTATTTATTTGTGTTTGCTACCTCGGTCATTTTGCATTTTGTAGGAATCGTTGCCAATCTTCTTATTATAGTGGTCATTTATAAGGCTTGGGTCAAAAGCCACCGAGTCTCCTCTCCGGACAGTCTCTTGTTCAGCCTGGCCGTCACTAGATCCCTAACTCTGGTGTTGTTTCTAGTGAACTCTGTCTACAGTGCTGCAAACGCCGTAAGGTCAGTCTACTTTTCCACGTTTTTCCTGTTGTGTTGGAAGTTTCTGGACTCCAACAGTCTCTGGTTAGTGACCTTGCTGAACTGTTTGTATTGTGTGAAGATTACTAATTTCCAGCACCCAGTGTTTCGTCTGTTGAAACGGGCAATCTCTGCAAAGACCTCCCGCCTGCTGCTGGCCTGTCTTCTGATTTCTGCCTTCACCACCCTCCTGTATCTTGTGCTCACACAGATATCACGCTTTCCCGAACACATAACTGGAAGAAACGAGACGTTATTTGACCTCAAGGAGGGCATATTGACATTAGCAGCTTCTTTGGTCTTGAGCTCACTATTACAGTTTGTGTTCAATGTGACTTTTGCTTCCTTGTTAATACATTCCTTGCGAAGACATGTACAGAAGATGAAGAGAAACACTACAAGCTTTTGGAATCCCCAGGTGGAGGCTCACATGGGTGCCATGAGGCTGATGATCTGTTTCCTCCTGCTCTACATTCCGTATTCCTTTGCTGCTCTGCTCTATCCTTTCTCCTATGGAAGGAAGAGTCTGAGAACCCAGGCTGTTTGCATAATTATTACTGCTGCTTACCCTCCAGGACATTCTCTCCTCCTCATCATCACACATCATAAACTTAAAGCTAAAGCAAAGAAGATTTTCTGTTTCTACAAGCAGTGGAATTTCATTTGTGAAGCTTGACAGCATGACTTCACAGTTTGGTTACAAGTGTTAGAAATTTCATGGTGATCTAAGGACTTGATTTTGTGATTCTGTATCTGACATCTTGACCCTGGTCCTGAGTGCTTGTATTTTAGTCAATATTGTATTTTTTTTGGCTAATATTGTAAAGTAAAGCACATTCCTTAAGGAATTGTATGAGGCATTTGTGTATTTTGCATGGCCATTACATTCCTAGATAGTGGAAATTATCACACTGTTCCACTAGCTGCTGAAGTATAAGGGGATGTCCCTGAATGAAGGCCACATTGTGATGTACATGGTTAACACAAATTAGAGAATTTAGCCAAGGATCCCTGAACAAGGTACCACTAGTAGCTAAGCTGTCACTGAGAACAGATTGGCTTAAAGGGTAACAAGGTAGTACATAAAGAAAAGAGGGAGGGGGGTTCAGAGAAAAAGAGAAAAGTGGAAAGATAGGTGTGCATTTGTGGGGCATGACAGATAAAGGATCCTGATGCTTGTTGAGCTGTTACTATCAAGAAACCCTGGTACTGAGTTTCTAGGCTTGATCTAGAAATGGTCAGAGTTGATATAATGACTGATAGTAAACAATTCAATTAAAACGGTTGAAACTCAAAGAATCTATTTTATTATCTAGAGACATAGGCCTAGGGCAAAAGCAAGTTCTATTCAGATAGTGAGAGAACACCACCTGAGTGGAAATTTAGAGAGCACAGCACCTACACCTTTGCTCCAGAGTTCAGTGGAAGGCCAAGGGCATTGAGCTGGTGGTGGAGTACTGGACTGGGCGGCTTATCTCAATGGTTTCTACATTGCACAGTTGTCCAGGAGAATACTGTTTTGGGGAATCTGATGATGGGTGTTGACAAGTTATGAAGTGGGAATTGAGCATTTGTTATTGACAATTGTATAGTTAAAATAAATTGCTTATGTAATATTTATATATCTCAAAATGAATAAACTTTTGAAATGTACAAATCACCTGACTTTTCCTGTTCTACCCACCACCATCTTTACTGAAAGAGTTAGTAAATAGTACCCAACCAGTATTAAAGTTATAAAACCTGGAGCTATTAGTCATGTTATAAAGTTAACAGATAAAAGAGAGGCTGATAAGTGAAATCTGGGCCGTAAGAACTCTAAATGAGTGGCAGAGCCCTTCATTAGTCCTTTAATACCCTTTTATCCTCTTTTCATAGTAATTGAATTATGAGCTGTCCAGAATTTATAATTTCCTCTTATAAGTTGGTGCCATATTGCCAATAGAGTGTGAGAGGTACTGTATGTAATTTCTAAGTGTACCTCTGGACCAGTCATTTTCTTCCTTCCCATTTCCCTTTTCTTGTTTGTTTTTGTTTTCCCTGTGGGCCAGACTGTTTACCTATTCTGAACTATACATCTGAGAACACTTGGGGATGGTGGAGTTACTATCTATCCTCGAATTGGTGGCATGGTTCATGACATAGGAGTGTTGTTACATCGTCTCTGAACTGTTTGTGCCTTAATTCCAGAACGGATCATGAGAAGAAAACATCTCCATTGTTTGTTTTTATTAAAACAGGAGCTGTTTTATTCTGTCACTTTAATGAAGTAACTTACCGTTTAGCATACTTTGATACAATAACATATATCTTCATCTTTATGATGAAATAGTATATAATTACTTACAATATTATAATCAAAACACATATAATGTTATTTGTTAAGTAAACCAAAAAGCACAAGTATGTGTTATAACCATTTAAAAATATGTACATCTGAAGAACAATCTAAAAAGAAGCATATAAACAGACATATACATGCATGCAGCAATTATTTTTATGTTGAAAGTTGATTTTTTTCTTTTACTGCTAGGCATAGAACCCAAAGCCTTGGTCATGCCAGGGAAGTTCTGTACCATTAAACTACATCCACAGCCTATGGTGGAAGTTTTGAGTAATATTTTTGTATTTTGCAAACTTTCTATGATGACCATAAGTTTTCAAATATATGTAATATTTATAGTATATATCTTATCCAACCAGTGATCCACCTTTTAATGAACAGATAGGGGATTCTTATATGAATATCCAGTTTCTCCTTACTCAGAAAGAAAAGTGATTGGTATTTCTCTTGTTTCGTCTGATTATTGTTTTTAATGGAATACACAAACCCTCAAATGTTTAATTTCATACAATTTATAGTGAAAACACTTCTAGACTAAGTAGGTTTGATTGCAATTACTATAGAAATGGTTTTTCAGAGACCATAGGGACCTTCAGAGAGCACTGACTTTATCATTGATAAATATTTTTATTTCATTGAGAATTTCATACAGTATAATTTGATCATGTTTACTACCAATTCCCTTAACTCCTCCTAGATACACCCCCATGTCTCTAACCCACAGCTTCTTTTCTATAAAATTAATAACACATTAAATCCAGTTTGTGCTGTTCATATACTTCTGGATATGGAGCATCTACTGGAATGTAGTGGAACTACCAGGAGTCACACCATTAAAGAAAGCCAACTTCCCCTTCTCCAGAGACTATCAACTATCCAGACCTCCTCAAGGGGCAGGACTCCCGGATCCCCTTCCAACTCCATACTCAAAAGTTGGTTGGCTTGATCTTGTGTAGATCTTGTGCAGGCAACAATAGTTGCTATGAATTCATGAGTGTCGTGGTCCTGTCGTGCTTAGAAGACACTGTTTTGATATGATCCTGCATGACCTGTGGCTCTTACAATCTTTCTACCCCCTTTTCTGCAATGGTCTCTGAGCCTTGGCAATGGGGTATGCTATAGATGTCCCATTTGTGGCTGGGTACTCTCTGAACTTTGACTAGTTATTAGTGTTTGTGTTAACCACTACCTACTGCACAGAGAAACTTCTCTGGTGTGGTCTGAGAGCTGCACTGTTCTACAGATAGAAAGAGATTTGGGAGGCAGTTTGATACAATGTCTATTTAGCAAAATAATAGGAATAGGTTTATTC